TGGGAGTTGAAGTCCACTCATCTTAAAGTGGCCAAGTTTGGACAACACTGCCCTAAATGGTTTGAGGCCTAATATCATTAGGTATTTATTTTTATACCACCATACACCCCAGGGGACTCATGGTGGTTTCCCACAATCATATAACCAAGAAATATCAAAATATATTAAGGTATATGGCTCTAGTCAGTAGTGTTGGAGGATGAGAGCCTCCATACTATATATGAAAAGCCATATAGAAAGATAATCAGACAGTTAAGGGTGAGGTATCATCAATACATAGTCAACATCCAGCTACAGTTCTCTGCCCTGGACTTGGCAAGGAGGTACAGTGGATATCCTCACCTGGTGTTTGGAGGCTGTGAGGGGCTGGATGGATAAAACAGGCTCATGTTGAATCCTAGCAAGATGGAGTGGCTGACTGTTCTGGCTTCCTGTCATTTTGGCTCTGAATAGAGTTGCACTCCCCCTGAAGGAGCAGGTCTTTGCGATGAGTATTTTTTTGGACTTACAACTCCTGTATGAACTACAGATAAAGGCCATGACCAGGACACCTTTTGCCCAACTTTGACTGGCGCAGCAGTTATGGAGCTTTTTGGAGTCGAATACCCTGAAGAGAATTATTCATGCTATTATCACCTCACATTTGGACTACAGCATCCATTTCCTGGTGGGTAAAAGCTATTTCAGCAGGGTAACACCTATAGTCTAGGCCCAGCGTTGGCTGCCAATATATTTCCAGGTAAATTTAAAGTGTTGCTTATGACCTATAAAGCTCTTTCGGGCTTGAGTCCTTGTTATCTGCAGGACCATCTTCTCCAAGTGGAGTCTGCCCATCTACGGTGTGTGATCTGATGGTGCAAATTCCCCTCACAAGGAATGTCAGGATGGTGGGAGTCCAGAGGTGGAGCCTTTTTATGGTCTTCCTGGCTCTCTGGAACAGCATGCCACTAAATACCCTGATGGCTCCCCCTCTATTGATCATTAGGAAGAATGCTCAGGCCTTTCTAGTCAAGCTTCTGGGATGGAGAATGCATGTACTGAGGATATTATACCTGCTTTTAAGGTTTTATGCTTTTAATGGTTATTTCATGATTACATTTTAGTTGTAGTTGAGATTCACAGACTGGGCAGAATATACTGTAACTCTCATAAATAAATACTTGTTTCCTTGTAAATCAGAATTTAAGTCATGAATTGACTGGGCCTGATAACCACATTTGCAATTAAGTGTAATTAGGGGCAGTGACATTTCCAACCCTTCACTATGGTTTGCATTTGATTGATTAGTCATAGATACGCTTTGATAAAATAATGGTAATTATTTCCACATTTGGTTCTTAAATGATCTACTTTATTTCTAATCTATTTGGAATTAAAAGTGAGACAGCATCACTCTAACCTATGGTTAATGTCAGAGGGAGGGAGGGAGGGAGGGAGGGAAGGAATTTTTCAGTACACAAACTAGTTTGTAGGAAATCACTGTTAGACCTTCACTGGATGAGGCTAAAGTGATTGCACAGGTAGCTAAGCAGAAGAGACATGGGCAGATTCAGCTCCTGTGCCCAGAGGTGTGCAAATATCATCCTTGAATGTGCATATACAGCATCTGATGCTAATATGGTTTCTGACAAGCATGTCAGGTTTTATAATTGCTTTTTCTCAGTCCTACTCCCTGATTTGCTTATAAATATACATAAGATCCAAGTTCCTTTTTGTGACCATCTATTATGTCAGCAGAGTGTTGCCATTGAAGAGCTTCTGATGCAAAGCAATCAACGATTTGGAACATTTCTCTGTGCTTATTGTTCCTTACCACTTTACCACCACCACCACCACCACTTACATCCCGCCAGTAATAAAGTAATTCTGAGAATTGTTAAACTTTTTTCAACAAAAGGTTTCTCCTCCACATTTTTTACTATAATTGAATGGTCATTATTCTACAAGTTCACATTTACAAATGATTAATTAGACTTGAGCTTCTGAACATCTCAAAACTGACACATAAATTTAATTGGCCTCATTGCCATTTGTAATGTGGGGATGGAGAGGAGGCGTTTCAGACACTGAGACATGGTGAGATTTTGACATATTTTCCACATATTTTCTTCAGTTCTCAGTTAATCTACAGTTTTCCAGTCTACTTAGAAATAAAACTAGGACAATATTACAACCTGCTTTATTAATCAGATTCGCATTATATTCATATGAAATTATATTACTTCATTTCATTGGACTCCAGGGGCCCGACACCGATATTTACTGAAACATCCCATAAGCAAAAAAATTAGTTTTAAACACATACCTATTTTCATTCAGGCTTCACAAGCCCAGCAAATTGAAAATTAGCCACTTAATATCTGTGCAATGTAATGTGTAAAGCTTTTGCTGATCCTCATAAACTATTATGGATTCAGAAGCTACAAACCTTCCTTGATCTATACTGACACAATCCCCTTTGTTCCTGGTGCTATAGTGTCTGTCTATCATTGTATTTGTACAGACACAATTTGAGCAGGACCACATTTTATCTACAGTCCCTTCCAGCAAATATATGCATGGGGTTCCTACTGATGCATACCAACATAATTCACATACTGTAAACAGTTCCTGCTATTAGGTAATTTTGGAGGCGAACCTGAACCGTTCATGCCTAATGTAGCAGGACACAATTGAATCCTCCTAATAAATTCCACTGATGCAGAGTAAAATACTGGAGCCTTGTTAATATGCTCTGTTGGTAATAATTTTTGTGCTCCTGTATAAGTACCTTGCAGTGTGTGTTAGCCATGGATCTATTCATAGCTGTTGCATCAACACCACATCAAACGATTTCTTGTACCTAGTTGAGATCTCAGCTATGCTATATGGGTTGGCTGGCTGCCTCTTCTTGCATTTAATCCTCCCCCCAGCCCCCCAAGTTCTACAATTATCTTTCCACAGATTATTTGTTGTTGTTGTTGCTGCTGCTGTTGTTGAAAATCAGAAGAACAAATCCTGGCACTGGGGAGCTACGCTTGCAAGAATAGTTTTCCTCCTGTGACAGTTGGCAGGAGCAGCAACAAACAGGGCCAATATTAGCAACTCAACCAACGCAAGCACATTGGAGCTCACTAGGATTGAGCATCACATCCTCTCTTTTCATTTGTTTGTTTACTTAAAACAAAACAGGCTAATTATGATATGTTTGCTTTAAACAGTATGAAACACTTCCTATAAGAGAATGATGCTCATTCACTAATGTCTTTTTTTTGAGGGCCAGTACAGAATAAACCTTATTATATTCCTTTAGTCATGATAGTGGCATGGTTTAAGTGAATTTAAAACTCAGAACCCTACATGTTCAAAACACTTAAAAAAATGAATTTGAGAAACAATGACTGATTGTTTCCCAAATTACCTAAAACTACATCACCACACCATTGCCTGCTGTCTTAGTCTTCTTCAATCTGCGTTAGACTACAATTCCTATCCTGGGTACAGATTACGGAAGCTGTGGTCAACATTTTTGGATTGAGGAGATGTTATTAGTTCAACTCATTCATTGCTGCAGAGGTTGGATACAAATTCCCATGGTTCCCTATAGTGGAATGCTCACAAATGACTCCAACCTATGTAAAGTTCCACGTGAGACTCTTTATCTAAACTCAGAACAAAACCTTTTCTTTATTTCAATTTCATGTAAGCCTACACTGCTAATTCACTAATCAAATAGCTGACTTGTGAAAGATCCTCTATATTTGCCCAATACAGGACACTGATGAGAAAAATATCCCAGTCCTGAAGTGTTTCCATCTACAAGAAAGGAACCACCCTAATTTCTTCAGGTTGAACTTACTGATTGCTCTGTCCAGCAACAAACTCATTGCTGTCTGTATGCCAGACCATACAGTATTTATATGTATGAGATCTTTTCCCCATTGTGACATACAGTATCTTCTAGAGCCATCCAACCATTGCTGGGCCAAAGCAACAGCCATTCAGACCAGCTTTATATCACTTTAGTGATGGCTGGTGAGGTTTTGAGTCACTGGTGGAGAAATGGCCAGACTTTACATATGAGATCAGTGAAAACTAATTGATCTACGTGTGGAGGAAGATGAGATGGGAGGATACTGGATTGCTTCACTTCTAGATGCAGGTGAGAATAGCTGCTTTGGATGCTTCTCGATATTAAAAGAAATCAAAAGAAAAATAACTATTTCCTGCAAGTAAAGAAAATGCTCGCATGTTAAAAACCTCTTGCTTTGTCCTATTCAAGTTGCAATGAACTTGTCAGATGGAAAACCATTAAAATGTGATTGCCCATCTGTAAACTGAAGCTGCACAGCTGTCAATGCCCAGATTTCTGTACTTGTTTTGTACAGCATCTGTAGGCCAGGCATAACTGAACGAATACTCTCCCTAAATGTTGTTAAATAGCCAATTGCATAACATATATTAAATCTTTAAAAACATAAATAAAATGGACTATTTGTAAGTATGGAAAACTATAGTATGAGACAACTATTGATTTGCTGTAGGTTTATATTATTTATACAGTGCATTTTATTCTGTTTCCACTATCTGTCATATTACGTGGAAACTAAAATTAGCCTTATTTCCTTTGTTTTTCTGCTTGCTGTCTCACTAAAAGTTTCTGTACATATTTAAACCTCTGCAATGAACATAAAAGCTACTGGAAACATGCAGCTACTGTTAAATGGAAATTTATATGGGACAAATGACCTGTCTAAACCAAACTTTTCCACCTGATTCTTGGGGGAATTACTGCTGTCCCCACTGTACAGGAACTAACGTTCTTTCAGAGTATATGAACACTCTGAAAGGAACAGGATTGGTCTCATCCAACCTCCAAAGTGTATTCAGCATGAGGTTTGAATCTCTGGTCTCTCCCATTCAGGATCTTTATATATTTCCAATCTCGGTGTTTATTAATATAATATCTACCATAGTATGCAGTACCAATCCATAGATTACATATCCCTTCCAAGCCAGTTATTAAACTGATACCCAACTCATAATAGTTGAAATACCCTAGAATCTTCCTTGAAAACCTCATAACCTCTAATAACTCTCTGTACTAATGGCAAATCCATGACACATTTCAGCTCGCCACTCTCCTTTCAGGACTAGTACAGGGATCTCAATGGAAGTCCGATAGCTAGCAACACCAGTAATCTTGAAACTGTTCTACAATTCAGTGTTAATACTGAATACAGCACATGTAATTAAAGTGTTACAGAAAAAGAAGGATGAATCCAGCAGAAACCATTTTAAAAGTGCTAATCATCGATTTCTTGACCCCAATTTACAGATGTACTGCTCAGTGAATATGCCAACAGTTCTATTTTGATGTGTATTTCTGTTCAATGATGGTCTATCTCCACTAGAAAAAAATCCTCCCGCCTGATAACCGTATTATTATTAGTCATAATAATGTAATCATAATCAGGCATCTTAGTGGATGCCATTGCATTCAGTTTGAAGTGCTTCAAAAACATTTTCTAAGTGCATGGTCATTTATATCAAATTTCAGACACCAACATGAAATGTTTACTTGACCACAATTAAACTATTTTTTTCTAGATCTGGATGTGAATTGACATGAAGAGCTGTCCAAAACATACTGCAGTACTTTGAACAGACACTTTCTTGATAGCTTGTGTTGGCACAAATGGGGATAGAAACAGGAATAGCACTCAAGTTAGTGAAAAAGGGAACCAGATATTTTTAAAACTAGATTTTTAGAAACATCTTTTCTGAGCTATTTAGGAGCTAATATCAGATTTTGCATCTGAAAGCAAAGAATCAGTCAACGAATAATTGTAAGTGTGGCAGAAAGCAAAACCAAGCCATTTCCCTTTCTAGAACTGGCATGTACAGTTATTTCATGTAAGTCTTGCAAAAGTCAAATGCTCATCTCGTAGCTTGCAAACAGTCCCCTGTGTGGACTCTGCTTCTGTGCTGAGCTCTAGTCAGGAAATTTCTTTAACTGATCTTGTATTGAATTGTACTTTTGAAGGTCCTGTTCTGGCCTGTCTGGTTAACTCACTTTTGCTCACACCAGCAGTCCCTTCCGATAACTTTGCACTAGGCTAAAGGAAAAGCCTGACATTACTTACATTGGGTGAAACAAAAAGTCACACACAAGGATTCCAAAAAGATCTCACCAATTGCATGTTTTAATAGCAAATGTGGCTCAGCATCAGTAAATGTGAAGTGATGGATAGGGTGTGTGAAGACTAAGAACTAAGTTCTCTGACTGGTGTGGGTCTTCCGGGCTGTGTGGCCATGTTCTGGAAGTTTTGTTTCCTAACGTTTCGACAGCACCTGTGACTGGCATCTTCAGAGTGCAGGAGCACAGACAGGAGCAGTTCTCTCTGTGCCCGGGGTAATGTGACCCTTTTGTGGGTATTTATAGAGATCTAGGGGGGGATTGGGTGTGTGGGGGGTTGGGTTACAGAGTGGTGCTTGTTTTGGTGTCAGAATCTGTGTGTATCT